TTTCAAATATAAGTTGTGTAATGAAAATTATTTATATGATAATGAAAATTTTATAAATAAAAAGAATTTGTTTAGTTTATATTAAATATTTTAAGCCTATGAACAATAATTTATTATAATTTACATAACTTGGTTATATATTTATTTATAGATATTAGTAAAATTATTAAGCCCGCAAGTGCGGGCAAAACACCTAGTTTGGTTTTATTCTTATTAATTTCTCTCTTCTGGATAGATATGTTGTCATAGATTTGTCTGCGGGGCCTTGTACATACGGGAAGATTGAAACTGAAGAGGGAAGTGTCAGTCCTAGAACATTGCCAAGGATACGAAACATTATGCTTCCAGGAGAAGTTAGCCGCCCTGCTGGTTATCAGTCTACACATGATATTTTTTCTGGTCAGTTAGCGGCATTAGTAGCTACTACAATTGAGCACGTCATAGCTCCTGATGTCAGGTAATATGATACCCGAAGCTTTACTTATTTGTAGCAATAAAATAATGCTTAGTTGATTCATTCTGAATGTGACCAGGTTTGAGACCGTTGATCTTGCAACTAGAGTGCTGGTACCTATCATCGTGCTCCAAAATCACAATCGGTATAATATCATGGAAAGAGGACAAAACTACAGCATAAATATTGAAGAGATAGAATCCGAGGTAAAGGTTTCTTGCATTAAATGAGTAATGTTCATGAAATACTTGACGCTCTGATCTTTCGTTTTCTTCTCTGAATGGTGTTTTGATCCCTGAGTTAATTTGTTTAGTAAAAAAACACATGTTACTGCTATCAAAGTTAGCACCTGCTGCACCCGTGATATTTTCCAAAATACACACAAGAATTCGACTCTATAGGTTTTCGCATGCTAACTGTCCGAGTCTTTGCAGGTAAAGAAAATGATTCATCATGGGCAAGAAGTAGTGATCGTTGGAGGGGCTCATCCTTTACATCGCCATGAGAAGTTAGCTATCGCTGTCACAAAAGCCATGCGTGGGCATTCCCTTCAGGAAACTAAGACGGACGGAAGATTCCATGTTCATACCAAAACATACCTAGATGGTGCTATCCTCAAAGAAGTGAGTTTGTATTTGGCGACTGTGGTTTCCGAGTTAGGTTAAGCTAGGAAATCTTGTGAACAGAGACAAATAATAGGTCTTTAATCTTCGGTTGCTGTTCAAAGCAGTGAAGTCTCGTAATTCTTATTGACCATTGCAGGAGATGGAAAGGTCTACTGATGTTCTAGCTGCTGGTTTGCTTGATGTATCTGACCCTGAACTTTCTAATAAATACTTTCTGCGCCAGGTAAATCTTACAAGTTGCTATTCAAATTTCTTTCACAAGTTTTGTATCTTCTTCTCAAAGAAAAGATTCCAAATTTTGTACTCAGAGCTGGGATGATGAATCTGAAGGTTCAAGCGATTCCATCGTGAAGCACAAGCCTCTCTGGTCATCTTATAGCTCGAAAATTCAAAAGGGAAAGAAAAAGAAGGCCGCTAAGAAAAAAGGCGATCTCTACCGGACTTACGGAACAAGAGTTATTCCAGTGTAAGTTGATTAATACAAACCAGCTGGTCGGTATATTTGGTACACTGGCCTAGCAAGAGTGAAAGGTTAAGTGCTTAATTTACACATTACACCGAACAGCAATTCATATAAATATCTACTTTGCATATAGGTATATACTCTCATTAGCCGATGTGGATCCATTGCTCATGATGGAAGATGAAAGCCTCGTGTGGGCAAGCAGTGATGTAGTCATTGTACTTCAGCATCTAAATGAGAAAATACCTTTGAGGTGAGCAAGACGTAATAAGAATAGAACTAGAAAACAATGATAAACTTGCTACTCTGGTCATCATATCGGTTTTGATTTCATGTTTTTGCAGTTATGTTTCTGAAACAGAGAGACAGCACGCCGTTCCATCACAAGTACAACGGCATATACTTGCCGGACTAGCTTCTGCTTTAGGCGGTGTAAGTGCACCATATGAAAAGACATCTCACGCGCATGAAAGGCCCGTCACCAATTGGCTTTGGGCAGCCGGTTGTCACCCGTTTGGACCGTTCTCAAACGTGTCTCAGATGAGTCAAATGCTTCAAGATGTTGCACTGGTGAGAGTTCAACAGTTATTATCATGCTTATAAAAAAAAATTAATATTGACACCCTTCTGAATCTCACGTGAGATATGGTTTCTTAAATCCGCAGAGGAATACTATCTATGCGCGGGTTGATTCTGCTCTACGCAAAATCCGTGAAACATCAGAGGTAAGCCAAACTGAAACTCTTAAAAATAGGTTTCTCCTGTAGAGAGTTCATCTATCATGTTGTTATCATGTGAACAGGCAGTACAAAACTTTGCATCTGAATACCTCAAGACTCCACTAGGAGAGCCAGTGAAAGACAAAAAGAACAAAACAAGAACGGAGCTGTGGGTGGAAAAGTTCTACAAAAAGACAACCACATTGCCTGAGCCTTTCCCACACGAGCTAGTGGAAAGATTAGAGAAATATCTAGACGTAAGTGTTAAGAAAACACCTTTTGTTACTCTCTGCGATTTCAATTTTGCACCAGATGGATTGTTTACGTTCCCTCTTTTTTTTTTTTCTGGTATGCATAACGTTAGAGTGTAGAGGAGCAACTGGTGGATCTCTCTTCTTTGCTATACGACCACAAACTATACGATGCTCATCTCAACAGCTCCGAGATTCTTCAGACCACCATGTTTACAAAGCAGTAAGTCTCTCTTAATACATTTTTCTTTTCTTTTTCTGAGCAAATAGAATGTAACACTTACAAAAGTAAATAAACACTTGTTTCAGGTACGTAGAACATGTACTGGAAACAGAAAGGGAGAACATGAGATGCTGTAAGATAGAGTACAAATACACAGTTGGAGTGAAGTCTTATCAAACGTTGGTGTATGGAGGGATTCTTATTGCAGGTTTTCTTGTCTACTTCCTTGTCATCTTCTTCTCTTCTCCTCCTGCTCGTTAACCTATGTTCATGTTTTTGACGGTCATAGAGTTTGTAACGCTGTTTATTTGTTTGAATCCATGTCACTAGAAGTTTGTTGACATATGATTTTAGTAATATCATTAAGCAGTGTTCTAAACATGGGTCTAGGCAACCATCTAGCGGCAAATCAGATATTTTCAGTTTGGATTTTTGAAAATTGGTTTAAATATAAAAAAATTGATTTAGAGATCCGCCTAAACAATAATCTTTCACCACTTAGCAATTTTTAGAATATTGTCACTAAGTACTAATTATAGAAAGTTATGCATATACAACTAGAAGATTATATTAAACTATGATTGTGTTGTTTTATTTTAGTTATTGTTTTAGATTTGTGCACATATATATATTAAAAACATTTAATTTATATATTTTCTAAATAAATGAAGGGATGAATCATAAATTCATAATATATAAGAAGAAAGAAATCATGATCAAATAAACAAATATTTTTTCAAAAAACAGAAAAATACAAAAAGACAGCTGGGCCAAGCTAATGGAGCATGTGTGTCTCTTCGCCATCATGACCTGTCTCCGACAGCAATCCCGGCACAGCCGAGCTGGAGCCGGAGCCAACGGCTGAAATAATGGCATTCAAAGCACGAATCTGCATCTCCATCGCAACGATATAATCTGTAGTTTCTTCTAAAACCACAGGTAACGGTTGTTTCCGGCAACCAGGGATCAACCGGCTAAGCAATTTCACTTTCCTCTGCACAGCTGTAAAACCCTTCGCCTTCAACCTCAAAACCGTTGCTCTTTTCTTCATTAACCGGTTATTCCCGGTTCTCGGATTTGGATTTCTTACCCAATTCTGTTTCCTGAACTTGTTGAGTTTCACTTTCACAGCTTTAGATAATATAGCTCGGCTCCACAACGTTTTCCCTCTCGCCGTAACGGCCAGAGACCTATAAGCAGCGTCGCGTATGGCTCTACCTCCTCCGCGAGGAGATGGATTCGCGGCGGCGCTAATACGGAGTTCCCTCAGAGACTGAATGATGTTGGTCGAGTAGATTTGTTGTTGCTTCTCGCATCTCCATTTCTGCACCGACGATTGAGACGGAGGTTTCTTCTTCCGTTTACGTCGCGACTGATCATACACGGAGCTAGTCCTCGTCACCGTTGGCTGATTCAACACTGGAGGAATGGACTCCATGTCAATTCCTCTTCTTCTCCGGTTACAGTATTTGAAGACAGAAAGTGAAGTCCACGAAACAGAGAAACAAAGAAACAGAGAAAGGAGATTAGAGGATGGAAGAAGGTGAGCGACGTATGTGGAGGAAGAGGAATCCTTCTGAGCAAGGAAAGGTATAATGGAACCGATTTGATCTATTATCTTACTCCACTCAAACATATTTCTAAAAAAAGAATATTATCATCATTAACTAAAATTGACCACGCTTAATTGCTACACTAATGCTTTTACTATTACCTTAAGCAGACATTTTATTAACTGAGGCGGACACTTTACTATTACCTTAAGCAGACATTTAGATGTCCGATTCGTCGTACCATTCTTTTAATTCGTACGTTGGCATGGCATCTACTGGTGTTCACAGGGGTCTGTACATTATCCACTTTAAACCTTTTTAAATGATTTATCACCTCTACATTTCTTTTCTGTTCTTTCTACAATTGGCTACTTAGCTCGATCTAAAAAGTTGGACTGTGAAATGGAAGGAGTGTCTCATAATAATAGACTACCATTTCTTTCACTTGTGTACGTCCCACCGTGGGACTGAAATGCATCACTTCATATTCTTCACCATTTTTGGTATGTCTGCGGTTCTGCCTGGACTCCCCACTGCCTGACACCAAGATTCAAGCACGTCTGGTTTATTTTTAGAACGGGTCTGACAAACCCATGAACACTCGGCATAACTGATTTACAGAGAAATCATATAAAAACAAAATTAAGATATTTTTGGAAGAATTTGTTCATTTCTGGTTTGGTTAGGCTAGAGACTTCTCTAAACAATAAGTATATTAACCGTCATTTTGTTATTCGGTACTGTAGATAACCAACGTTTAACTTACTTCCTAACCAACGTTTAACTTACTTCCTAACCAACGTCTGAGAACTAAAATATTTTTGGAAGAACTTGTTCATTTATGGTTTGGTTTGGTTTGGTTTAGGTTAGAGACTTCTCTAATCCATAAGCATTAACCGTCATATTGTTATTCGGTATTGTGGATAACATAGTATACTCCTAACCAACGTCTGAGCAATCTCACGGGTCTCAACTCTCAATCACATGGCATTTTTCTTGGCTGGTCCCACGACCATCATTTTTTTTTTCTCGAATGAATGTAAAATTTCCATCATTTTTATCCAAACAAGATAAGGTTTATTTTCTTCTAGACCAAAAGATGTGAACTAGTCTTAGCAAAGCATGCATGTAGAGAAATTTGGTTTCATAGTTCCAGACAAAGCCTAGTCTTAACATGCACGTAGAGAAATTTAAAGAAGACATTTATGTTAAAACTTAACACAAATTATAACAACTTTCTAATGAAAATCATCTAGAAAACGCTGGAAAGGAGATTAGCAGCGGTGGAAATGGCTGCTCCAGTAAGAGCAGACTGAACCACTTGCTCATGGCTAGTTCTCTCCGAGGTTGTCATGGCCATTGCCGCCCCTGTCAATGCTCCAGCCACTGCGCTGTTCCTCTGCAGGATACGTGTGGTTACAAATTAAGTAAAGATCATCACATTAACAATAAAATGATGGTGATAAGTTGTGTTCATTAAAATGACAAATGATGATTAATTAGACTGACCCAATCATGAGCTCCTCCACGAGCCTCCTTCATACCATAAGTTATACCAGAGTATAATCCAGCTGCTAGCCCTATACCATACCATACCAATCAACATCCCGACCCACTAGTTAAAACTCTACTATATCTTAAATCACAACGATTAAGAAACATAAATATGTGTATACTCACCCCATTGGAGAGATTCCTTTCCTGTATTTTTCACCTAAAGACCAGCCAATTTAAACGGTTATTAGAAATAAGACCAATCGTTAGTTGAACTTAGTCTACTACACAAGCTTATGACCAAGCTCTTTCTTACATATGCTACACATGTTATATCACATAGGCACAAAATACACGTACGAGATATGTCTATAGGATGGACATTAGACCTAGATAAATAAAGAAAAATTAGTGCTCAAATTTGTAACTCACCAATGCCTCCAGAGATTTGCTGCTGTTTTCCCCTGAAAATGCAACAAATACTATTAACAACACAACACACATTATATGACACAACGCAAATAATATCTGCCGTTAACCAAATACAACAGTACATATTGTAATTGCAAGTGCATGAAGTAGTTAACGGACCTCTCAGATTAGGGAACCGTTTCTTGCTGCCGGTGTTCTCAGACGGTGGACCCATGCTGCTCGAGTCAAAACCTGTCCATGAGTTATCTCATTAGTCAAATTAAAAGTTCTCCTTTAACTTATATACTTTAAAAAAAAAAACTTATATACCTATATATATAATAGACTAATAGATTGGAATATGAGGAACAAGAAAGTATGCCGGAGATTTACCATCAACCACCGTAAAGTAAGCTTCCCTAGACACAGCTTGTAATGCTCCGACCTTCATAAATAATGCCATTTATAGCCTATCTTAACTCATATTGTTATTATATATTCCCACACATATATGAAAACTTACACCGGCGGCCTTGACGAAGGAGTCGGCGATGCGGTTGAGAAGAGGATGACCAAGATCGAACAAATTTGCCTTCTCAAAGCTTCTTATCTCATCCATTACCTTTCTTCCACTCTTCTCCATTTTTTTTTTGTTTCTTCTCTCTTCTCTCTTCACTCTCTATTTCTTTGTGTTAACACTTCTGTCTTCGCAACAAGTAAGGAGAAAAATGTGGAACCGAACAGACAGAGCTTTCCCACTCTCTCGACACGTGTTCTGCTTTCCCATACGTGTCGGAGTCTGACCTTTGAACTCTTCACCCGTCTCATTCCCAACGTGTCTCTTCTTCCCTAAAGACAAGGTCATATTACTAACTCCAAACGATAGATAAAAGCCCACTGGGCCTAGTTATATTTTTTTAAACAGGGATTTTAATATATCCGGTTCGAAGACGAGGAAACGTGCCACGTGTCCCATCTTTGATATCTCCGCTTCGGATCATCTCTGTCGTGAGCTATACTTTGTCATCTCCGTCACTCCCATTAGTCAGATCTCTTCCTCTCTCTCTAACAATGCAATCAGCTTTCTCTCTTTCCTTCTCACACTCTTCGCTCACTACACCCAACCGCCCGCTCTCTCCATCCAATGCCGCTCCGAGGAATCTCCGGTTCTGCGGTCTCAGGCGGGAGGCGTTTGGTTTCTCTCAGTCGAAGCAGTTAACCTCTTGCCGTCTCCAAATCAACAGTAGGAGGATCAAAGTCTCCGCCGCTGCCGCTACCAATGGAGCTCCGTCGAAATCATCATTCGATTATGATTTGATCATTATCGGAGCTGGTGTTGGTGGCCACGGTGCTGCATTACACGCAGTGGAGAAGGTCTTCTCTCTTTCTTAGCGTAGACTTTCTTAAGCTATGCGTATGTGAAGCTCTCACATGCATTTGTGTAGTTATGTAATAGATAAAGTAGTTCGGTAATAGACAACAACGTAGTTCTGTAATAGAAGTATAGCGTAGTTCTGTAATAGATAATTTAGTTTTGTAACAGAGAACATAGTCCTGTAATAGATGAAGTAGTTCTGTAATGGACATCGTAGTAGTGTAACAGATAACTTAGTTCTGTAATAGATCATTTAGTTCTGTAAAAGAAAACTTAGTTCTGTAATATAGAAAGTAGTTCTGTAATAGATATTGTAGTAGTGTAATAGATACCTTATTTCTGTAATAGATCATTGAGTTCCGTAATAGACAACGTAGTTTTATAATAGATAATTGAGTTCTGTAATATATAAAGTAGTTCTGTAATAGATATGGTAGTAGTGTAACAGATAACTTAGTTCTGTAATAGATCATTTAGTTCTGTAATAGACAACGTAGTTCTGTAAAAGAAAACTTAGTTCTGTAATATATAATGGTTTTTTATAGGGACTCAAAACTGCCATCATTGAAGGAGATGTTGTGGGAGGGACTTGCGTTAACAGAGGATGTGTGCCTTCAAAAGCTCTTCTTGCTGTTAGTGGTAGGATGAGGGAACTTCAGAACGAACATCACATGAAGTCCTTTGGTCTGCAGGTAAAATGGTTGCCCTCATATATTGGTCTTTGGTCTCATAATAGTTCATGAAATGATTGTATCACTCTCTCCTTGGCTCTGATTGTGTCTTCTCCTGTGGATAACAGGTTTCAGCTGCCGGTTATGACCGTCAGGGTGTGGCTGACCATGCGAGTAACCTGGCTACCAAAATTAGGAATAATCTCACCAATTCCATGAAGGCCCTTGGTGTTGACATCTTGACAGGGTTTGGCTCTGTTCTGGTCAGTATGTTATGGTCTTTTTAGTGTGATAATTCATACATGATATGATGTGCTTAATTGGCGATCCTAATACTCTTTATTCTACTTGTTCAGGGGCCACAAAAGGTTAAATATGGAAAGGACAATGTTATTACCGCAAAAGATATAATCATTGCAACTGGATCTGTACCTTTTGTCCCTAAAGGAATCGAAGTTGATGGTATGTGAGGGGAGGAGGAGCCTCCCGAAACCCAAAGTGTCTCGTCTCTGTAAGTATAGCAAGCGACTTAAAGTTGCTTTTATTTTTTTTGTTCTGTAGGAAAGACTGTTATCACAAGTGACCATGCACTGAAGTTGGAGTCTGTTCCTGACTGGATTGCGATAGTAGGAAGTGGTTATATCGGTCTTGAGTTCAGTGATGTTTACACAGCACTTGGAAGTGAGGTAACATGTTGATTTTGTACTAATCATTATGACAAGTAGTGTTTGTGTGTTGCTTATCAAGTAAGTTTTTTTATTTCTCTAAATAGTAACAAAATTCTTTCTGCAGGTAACATTTATTGAGGCGCTGGATCAGCTGATGCCTGGATTTGATCCTGAGATCAGTAAGCTGGCTCAAAGGGTTCTGATAAATCCAAGAAAGATTGACTATCATACTGGAGTATTTGCAAGCAAAGTATGCTTGGCTTATCTCACGCCTTCTATATATATTTTCTTCCTATACAGTCTGTTTACGTATCTTTCATTTGCTTTTTTTAACAGATCACTCCAGCGAAAGATGGAAGACCAGTGATGATTGAGCTGATTGATGCTAAAACCAAGAAACCCAAGGATACTTTGGAGGTAAACAAATGTTGTGTAAAAGATGTTAGTTGTGTTTGAATTTTATTACAACAGACTCCTTTATTGGTTACTTTTGTCTTCCCTTGCGCTGAAAGTGTGACCTTATGTTCCCTTTTCAAGGTGGACACTGCTCTTATTGCCACAGGAAGAGCTCCATTCACCAATGGTCTTGGCCTTGAAAATGTAAGAGATGACAATAAACCGCATCATCTAATGAATAAACGTTTTCACACTTTTGGTTCTCTTAGTTAATTTGGTTATGAAAGTATTAACCTTTACGCTCTGTATTCCACACAGATCAATGTAGCGACGCAGAGAGGTTTTATACCAGTAGATGAGCGAATGCGTGTTATCGATGGAAATGGAAAGCTGGTTAGTGTTCTTTTCATATGTGCATATCTTGTTATGTCTTACCACCAGTTCTTACCGAGGCATTCTTGGATGATAGGTTCCGAACTTGTACTGCATCGGTGATGCCAATGGTAAACTGATGCTCGCTCATGCAGCCAGTGCCCAAGGAATTTCTGGTAAATTGATTATAAAAACTCCATTAAATATGCATCAGTCATTTTCCCTTTTTTGTACATTTCATTACGTTTGACCGTTTTTTTAATTAAACTCTCTGTGCATCTACTTGGTGTTGGCTAGTGGTGGAGCAAGTCACAGGTAGAGATCATGTGCTTAATCATCTTAGCATCCCAGCTGCTTGTTTTACTCATCCTGAAATCAGTATGGTGGGATTAACAGAGGTAACTAACTCTAGACACCCTTAGTGGATATGTTGCTTTAGAAAAATGTAACCACAACCTTTTGTAATCATTTCTTCTCAGCCTCAAGCAAGAGAGAAAGCTGAGAAAGAGGGATTTAAAGTAAGTATTGCAAAGACAAGTTTCAAGGCAAACACAAAGGCTCTAGCCGAAAATGAAGGAGAAGGAATCGCTAAGGTAAAGAGAAGAGTATAAATGCTAAAAATAAATAAAAGAAAGTTGTTTTATAGTCCTGGAGTGACCGAGAAGACGCTCTCTTTATGTGCACAGATGATATACAGACCTGACAATGGTGAAATCCTTGGAGTTCATATCTTCGGGTTGCATGCAGCTGATCTTATCCATGAAGCATCCAACGCCATCGCATTAGGAACACGCCTACAGGTAAGGAGAAATCTTGTTTCTGCAAACCAACATGTTCTTGATTTTGATCATTGAGCTTTAAATTGTGAGATTATTTTGGCTTTTTTGTTGCAGGACATAAAACTTGCGGTTCATGCACATCCAACTTTGTCTGAAGTTGTAGACGAACTGTTTAAAGCAGCCAAGGTAAAATACAACGATCCAGATTCACTCTTATCCATAAGTATCAGATCTCTTCGATTAGAAGTAACCAAACTCTTGTTATCTCTCTCACTTTCAGGTCGACAGTCCAGTTTCAACTACGGCACAAAGTGTAAAAGCTGTTGTATGAACAAGAACTCGAGATACAAAAGCTCTTGTATTAGAAGTACTTTAGCGACATTCGCTACGTTTACTCTGAATTTCACATGTTTTTGTTTCATTGTTTCGTTTCTTTATCTTATTATCTTAGCTTATTATTTTAACAAAAGAAAAAGCAGAATGTGAGACACGTATTTAAAATATATGTAAACATATCCATTTCATCAAGCTCTTGCATATACTCCAGCTGCGTCACATCTACTGATGCGTTGTAGCCTGCAAGGTGATTTCCCTGTACAATGAACAAGACACAAAAATGACGAAGAGAGGACAGGAAAATCACTTGCAGGCTTGGAAAAAACAATTTTAACTCACTTGATTTACAGAACCCCTAGGCTCAGTTTGAAGCTGTTCTGTGAAGTATATAATACATCTTCTGTAAGCAGTGAACAAATGAAAGAAAAAAATGCCAAGTGTTTTTCAGCATCATCTCACTGCTCCCTTTTTTACAACAAGCAGATATTCTTTTTGTGAAGGAGGGTAGAGACTGGTTGCTACTAATATCCTCTGATACTAGAAGCTCATCCTAATCAAGTGTGTTGATCTCATGAAGCCTGGTCTCATGATTTCTAGATGCTGCTCTCTTCAAACCATTCAAAAAGAAGTGTGAATTCCCAGGGGTTGCTGGAGTTGCCTGAGCTAATTTTAAAAATTGAACTAATTTTTTTTTTTGATTTAGTAATTTATGATTTATTATATAAGAGATTATTAAAATATTCTTTTCTCATTTTATGTGGTAAAATATTATTGGATGAGTGACTTATGATTTAATATATAAGAAATTAATTTTTCAAAATTTATGTGGCAATATATTGTTGATTGACTTGTACGTAAGTATATAAAGAATTATCACCAATATTTGTTTCTTAAATTATGTGGTAAATTACTATTGGTTGGATGACTTGTAATCTAATATATAAGGGAAGGAATCAGAATAAAAAAGACAAAAGCTTACCACCCCTGTCCGAAGGAAAAATATTTCGACTCTTTGTTACACACCGTTTATTCTTCTTGTCCAAGTTTTCCATGGCAGATCACTTCGGATCACAACCCTCTGACGTCATAACCATGAAAGTAACCACCACACCGGCAGCACATTTAGCTTTCACCAACTTGGCTTTCTGTTCACCTTCTGATCTCTCTCAATTCGCCGTTCCCGGCACCAATCTCTTCCTTGCCAACGTCGCTGACGTCTTCACTCTCTCCTTGTCATATCCTTTTTTTTATTACACACCTCTGTTTTATCTTTTTTGAGTTGTTTGTTTCGTCTGAATCACTTGTTTGTTGACTTTAACTGTTGAATACTGGACACGAGAGCATCCAAGATGGAGTTATTGCTCTTAATGCTGTTCAACGTAGACATGCTCGTGTTTCTGCTGATGACATGGTAACCGTCACCAGGTAATGGTCTCACCATATATTTTATTTGGTTATTTGTTGGTCTCTATGTTGGTCTCTAGAACCCTAAACCCTTGTCCTTGCAGATTCGTACCTCCTGAAAAATTTGACCTGGCTTTGCTGGAACTTGAGTTAGAATTTGTGAAGAAGGCTACTAAACAAGAACAGGTAACTCATCTCTTTTTGTGACAGCTCTTGGGATTATCTGTGAACATCTATGTATGATAGATATTTACTTTTTCAGGTTGATGCTGTGCTCCTTTCAACCCAACTCAAGAAGAAATTTAATTGTCAGGTAAAACAAACGCTTTGGATTCTTGGTGTGTATGTATTTATGTGTTCTGGCTCGTAATGCACGTACGAGGAATATGAAATAAATAAAGATTTATTGAAACTATACATGCTTATATTCAGGTCTTTACAGTAGGCCAGAGAGTTACAATTGAGTTTCATGGAACCAATTACATTCTTACTGTCAACCGAGCTGTTGTAGAGGCTGATGAGAACCAAACAAATGGTATCGAAAGAGGGATGATCTGTAACAATACCTATCTTGTGTTTGAAGCATCAAACACAAGTGGTATAAAGATTATCAACCAAAGAGAGGCTGCTACTAGCAAAATATTTAAAGGAAATGAGTTTAACCTTCAGTCTCTAGGCATTGGTGGCTTAAATGCAGAGTTTGCTGATATATTCAGAAGAGCATTTGCTTATCGTACATATCCTGCTCACCTCAGGAACAGGTCTTGTGATTCGTTCTTCAAGCAGTTTTGACTATTATTGGTATGTGTGTTGTGTCCCCCTTTGAAGTTTATTTTCTGATCTTGCAGAATTGGGGCAAAGCAAGTTAAAGGGATGCTTCTTTATGGACCTCCTGGTACTGGCAAGACCTTGATGGCACGCCAAATTGGAAAAATGCTTAATGGAAAGGAGCCAAAGGTACAGTTCTGATCATCTAGACCACTAAATTTAGGAGGCTGTTTTGTTGGTTTTCTTCAAAAAGTATACTTGTGTTAAAAGCCTTCATTTATCTCTTCTTGACATAATAGATTGTGAATGGTCCTGAGGTGCTAAGCAAGTTTGTTGGTGAGACAGAAAAGAATGTCAGAGACCTGTTTGCCGATGCTGAGAATGACCAGAGAACCCTTGGTGCGGAAGAATTGTCATTAAACTTTATGTTTTCCTTTTCTTACAATCAGTATGATAATTTGGACACTCTTATAAAACTTTTCAGGTGATGATAGTGAGCTGCATGTCATTATTTTTGATGAAATTGATGCTATATGTAAGGTACACCACTTTATTCAAGCGGCTGTCACTATGGACAATTAAAATAGTCATGTTTTTAGAATGCAGTAAACAATCTTAGCATATGATTTTGTTCTGAAAGATATGTTCGTTTATTAGTTAAACTAAATTTTACAAATTTTCAGTCAAGAGGATCAAGCAGGGATGGTACTGGTGTCCATGACAGTATTGTAAACCAGCTCCTGACCAAGGTTAGCCAACAACGATCAAGCTATTAGTACTTTTTAGTGTTTTCAGATAAGGCTAACACTTTTTGTTTTCCAGATAGATGGTGTGGAGGCCTTGAACAATGTTCTACTTATTGGAATGACAAACCGGATGGATATGCTTGATGAAGCTCTTCTAAGGTATGTACATTTCTTGTGCTGATTATTAGTGTCTTCATTTCATTTATATATTCCAGTTATTGTCTAAAGTAGTTTATATTCTGAATTTCTTATTTATTTTTGCTTGCATATAAACTTTAGATTCGATTTAGAGGACTAATGTTTTTGAATTTTGCATGCATGCCTACAGACCTGGAAGGTTAGAAGTTAAGATTGAGATTGGTCTCCCTGATGAAACTGGACGTTTAGAAATTCTTCATATTCATACAAAAATGATGAATGAAAATTCTTTCCTTGCTCCTGATGTTAATCTCCAAGAGCTTGGTACGCTTTCACCTATGCACATTTATACTTGCTTATATCATTGATGTTTTTTTTTTATTGATATGGAGTCTTGACATGATTTGTCTTATATTGTAATTGGAAAGCTGCTCAGACGAAGAACTATAGTGGTGCTGAGCTTGAAGGTGTTGTGAAAAGTGCAACTTCATATGCTTTGAACAGACATTTGAATATGGAAGATCTTTCAAAACCTGTGGATGAAGAGAACATTAAAGTTACAATGTTAGATTTTCTTCAAGCATTACGTGAAGTTAAACCTGCATTTGGAACCTCACCAAAGGCCCTTCAAAATTGCAGGTAAAAATTTAGACAATCTGTTTTCATCCATATTGTATTTTGTTGTGCTAATGTTAGACATGTATTATAGACCCAAGGGATTCGTAGATTGTGGTGATCGACAGAATCTCATTTACAAAAGAATCATGTTTCTTGTTGACCAAGTTTCAAACGAAACAAGTCCTCCGGTCACTTGCCTTCTTGAGGGACCAAGTGGAAGGTACCTTACATACTTCATTTTGAAAATAGAAATATTCAACCTAGCATTTTGCTAACATATAATTTTATTCCAGTGGAAAAACTGCACTAGCTGCGACCATTGGCATGAACAGTAACTTCCCTTATGTTAAAATAGTAAGTGCTGCTCTTTTTTTTAATTAGCTATGTTTGGACCTAAAATTGTTGCCTCTTTATTGGCCAGGTCTCAGCAGAGACCATGGCGGGTCTTCAGGAGAACACAAAAGCTGCACGCATTGCCAAGGTCTTAGTCCTCTACTTGCGTATTTTGTTATCTATTGTTGACTAATAACACATGTGTTTGATGTGAATGAACAGGTCTTTGAGGATGCATACAAGTCACCATTAAGCATTGTGATCCTTGACAATATTGAAAGGTTGGTCGTGCATACAAATCTAATCTTTTCTTTGTATCCAACACTTGATTGGTTTCTTAACTTAGTTGAATATTATAAACCTTTGTAGGTTGTTGGAATACTCAGAAATTGGACCACGTTTTTCAAACACGATCTTTCAAACATTGTTAATATATCTCAATAAGCTTCCCGAAGAGGTTTGTTTCCTAATGACAAAAGTTTGTTCCTTACGGTACAAAGTAACATGTCACTAACATGGTAGATTGTCGACAGGGGAGAAAACTTTTTGTACTTGGTACAACAAGTGAAAAAAGGTTCTTGAATGCTGTTGGTTTACGTAAAGTATTTTCTGTCACATACTCTGTTCCATTACTTGGGACTGAAGATGCAAAGAAGGTAACTTGTTCAACAAGTTTATTCATATTCACGTTAAAAAGATTGTTATAGTTTATTTTTATTTTAATCCCAAGTTTAGTACTCTCTCCATTTCTTAATATTTGATGTTTTAAGGTTGTGCACAACTATTAAAAATTTTGTTTTTTATCTAAAAAAATATAATTATATTTTTATTAAAAATCATTCAACCAATTACATAATATATTATATTAAATCATTGGCTGCACAGTTTTTGATAAAATTAAAAACTATATTAAACTTTGAAAACATCATCTATTTTGAAACATAAAAGACTTCTTTAAACATCATCTATTTTGAAATGGATGGAGTAATATGTAAATGGACGGATGAAAACAACCCAACATGTTCTTCCATGGTTCAGGTGCTGAAGCAATTAAACGTGTTCTCAGAGGATGATATCGAAGTGGCTTCCAAAGCCCTTAATGATGTATGTGGCTCGATCTCATTGTATCTTTGATTATCATATAAAAGCTCCTAAGTATGATATATCACTAATACTTGTAAACTCATGTTTTTGTAGATTCCAATCAAGCAGCTCTACTTTCTTATCGAAATGGCAGCACAAAGAGATGGCAAGCCTAAGGAGACGATCTACACTAGAAAGGAGAAACTGAACATAAGTCACTTCTTTGATTGCCTTAAGGAAGTTACAGAAAGTTAGCATACAGTAATTAAGTTAAGAAACTCTCATATTTGATGTGTTGTAATGAAATTGTAATGGACAGAGAAGGCTCTCATGTTGCTAGATTTGATTCAATTCGTATTGGAAATTTAAAATTTATTTCATTAGTTATGTTTTTAACTAGGTAATTCTTTCGTGCTCTTGCAAATATATAAGTATTTATGAAAAAAATAATATAATAACTAATTAATGTTTGACTGTGATTTTAAAGAATTTTATAATTACACATGTGATTTAAATATATTATATCTAGTCAGTTTGATTATTATTTAGGTGTATTAGATAGTATTATTTATATTTTAGAAAATTATATAGAAAATAACTAAAATTGATTAATTGAAATGAAATAAATAAGTATATCAATAATATGTTGAAATATGTTTTAGAGATATTTACATAATATTTACTTTTCTTAGATATTTTACTATGGGTTTATTGGATTATAAAGATAAAAAGAAAAATAAATTAACACAAAATTAAATATTAAAATAAAGATTTTTAATTATGGTAAAGTACAATACTTTTAGTTTATTAAAAGTAGTTAGACTTATTGTAATTAAAAAAAATATTTGATTTAAATGGGTTTATAGTAAAGAAGTATTTTTAGTTTCATTTCTGATATATATTTTCTTAAAATATTTTTTTAAAAATTTATTATTAAACATTTTGAAAATAAATACCAAAAATTTTGCGAGTTCGTTTAAAAGATCAAGTTATATAAGTAAAATATTTTTAAAAGTTTATCTTTCCAATCTATGCGAACTTATTTTCTAATCATTCAATGTCCAGATTTATATAGTTTAGTCTTGCAATGTGTTCCAGAAATCAATTGATTTCTCCTTCAACATTTCATTTTAAAATGTTTTCCATTTTCTTTGGATGATCCCAAATCAGATTTCTCTTTTATTCACCTTAGTCTCGGTTTATTTTACTTCATTGTTAGCATTCGTTTCAGCCAACCAGCATGGGTGGTTTGTTGTTGAATTGACTTCCATAAATTCTGCCTCTACTACAAATTGAGAAATTGTATTTTGCTTGTATGTCTTCTATGTAAACATTGCACTCCCCCATGTGAAACAATGTGGTACTTTGCATATCATATTTATAACATGTCCAATCCGAATCAGAAAACCCATTTAGCTCATATTTCTAATGTTTATACTAGGCATGGATGTTCGATTTTCTATAACTTTTGTTCAGTTTTCCGATTTAAGAGAAATAGAAATTCCCTTTGGCTATTTATTAAATTTAGTTTAGATTTTTTGATTTTTGGTTCAGTTCAAATAACAAGATTGAGAACCGGCTCAAATCCGGAAAAAAAAAGTTGTGGATCCAATTCGGTTCCAGTTTTAGATAATTCAAGTGAATGTAAGTTGTAATTTCAAATCCGAAAAAAAAGTTGTGGATCCAATTCAATTCCAGTTTTAGATAATTCAAGTGAATGTAAGTTGTAATTATATTTTGAGATTATTTATTTATGATAACATAGTAGTTTAACAGAAAATATTATCCTTTATCTAGGAATATTTGAAGTTGCCATTATATTATATTTTGTAATTATTTTCGTAACTTAATAAATACTTCATTTTAGCTTTTAGGTTTACAATAAAAAGGGGGCGACTAATATTTTTGAGATACAAAACATGTTCACTTTTCTGCTTTTAACAAATACACACTAACACAAAAGCAAAAGCAAATGAAAAGCAAAATAATTTGGAAACCTAAACGTGGTGACATTTAAAGACATTTGCAATAGCAAGAATACAAATGTTGTGATTATATTGTTAGGTTGTTGTGGTCGATCAAAATATTAAAATATACAAAGTCTGGTGAATTAGATTATATTGCATTAGTTGTTAAATAGTTAGTTCAATGTGAATAAAAGACTAATTACCATTTATGAAAGTTTTAGATTCAATAGAATTTTGTGTAAATCACACATGAAATTAAAGTTAGTTTTGTTCTGTATTTCTTTTTATAGAGTAGACGAATGAAGTCTTCGAACAAAAGAGTATTTTGTCCACTTCCACTAATCCATTATTTTCATGTTTTATTTTCTATTAAATACTCTCTTATATGTGTATTTTGTCCACTTCCACTAACCCATTATTTTCATGTTTTTATTTTCTATCAGATATAGCATATGTTATTTGTTTTAATAACATGAGGCAATTACCTTTTCATTAAAATACTTTAAGCTAGTTTTGATTTTATATATTGGAAATAATTATACATGTAATGTATCATATATATATATACATATATATATAATAATCATTATATTTCTGTTAATGTTTTACATACAATAATATAATTAATTAGTATTACTTTCATTATATTTGTGTTAATATTTTTCACATAATAATTAAATAATTAGTATTACTGTAATAATAAAATCAAATCAATGCTTCTCTCTTGAATTATAAAATTTGTGAAAATTTAACAATATACAATTTTAATTAAATATAATAAAAAAATATTTTAGACTGTTAGATTTGCTAGCACTCCATTTGATTCGTTTAGTTTCCCTTTGTTTCACTCGATCCATTTGATCAGTTAGATTTACAACGCTTGATTTACTTTTCTATTCAGAGCCTTAATGTACATGGTTTAAAAGGTTTTATTCGAAGTGGATAGAAAAATATCACACGATTAAAATTAAAGCTTACTATAAAAAGAAGTTCAGACAAGAGGTTTTTACACTCTCCTCCTGATATGGTATAGTTAAAAAAATTGACATATATAAAAATAAAAAATAGATTATTATTTTATATTTATTCAGAAGAACCCTAGAACGGACTTTCATTTATCAACAAAAAAATTACCTAGAATGATTTAAAAATCTTGATTGCATGTGATTTATATGTAAATCATCTAATGGAAAAATCTTAGCAGCGTTTAATGTTTGTAAGAGGAATAAATGAGATAGAAAAAAAAATGAAATCATTCTTATTGTTACAATTCAAGAGTAAACAATATGAGAATGATGAAAATAAGAAAGTAGTTGTGCAAGACTATTTCTCATGGTTTCACATTTTAATATATTATATTATTTTCTCTTTTCATTTAATAATTTAACATTATATTACACGGTACAATAATTTTGTTTGATAAAATTCAACACTCTATTTTACTCATTAATAATTATTTTTATATGTTCAAACTCAATAACTGTACTTTATATTTATATAAAATAAAAATTAAAAAACTATATTAGAAATAAAAGAAATTATTTAATCTATAATTAGATAATTGATTTTAAATAACTAGAGTAATATGGAAATATCAACAATCTTTAGGCTGTAACATGTGGCGTTAATCATCACATCATCCTTGTTTAACATGTTAAACGTTTTCAACATCAAATTATTCATATTGTCAAATTTCAGCATTCACTTTATTCACTGTAGTCTTCGACTATTAAACTTTTTATTGGTATTTCTATTGTAACTAGTCTAAGATCGAAAGAGTATGAGGAATAGAGAGAATAAGAGAATAGTGAAAAGATAATATTTATTTTTCGTTATTTTTATATTTGCGGCTACAAATGGTTTTTATAACAAATCTAACTTATAAAGAAGCTACACAAATTTTGCTTAATAAAAAGCTAAGATAAAATAAATAATAAATCAATTTGTTTTACTGTTCATCTATATGTACTATTCATCTAAAACTTGGCAGTGGCTACTAGCATCTTCTTGGCAGACTTTACTGAATTAAAATATATTTATCTATTTTAGTACTATCCCTAAAGCTTGACATAGGAAATCCAGAAGTTAAGCTTGGAACCATGAAGATCCACCTCATTAAAAAACTTAAGTATGGAAAACCTTATGAGATATAATCACACTTAGGGAAAAATAAAATATAGACTCCAAGGTCAAGGGATTCACCGAATGGGTCTATAACTCTTAGGATCGTCTTGATGGACTCATATATCTGATCATGACCGCCTTGTGTGGCAAGATAGAACCGCTCCTTGATCAACCATCTCTTTGAGTTGAAGTTGCTTGAAGCCTCCAATAGCATGTCCTCCCCCCCCCCCCATTCAACTAGCTTTGGATACACTTTCATGTCATTCCTTAGAATGATGAGGAGTGACTGGTTGGCCATGTCTGGTTGCTTTGGCCTCTTCTGTGTTGCATCTTCTCAATCCATTTCTTTGACCGTAGTCCATAAGTTTTTCATCTCCACTTGATCGTTCACCCTTGTTATATTCTTTTGGACTAATAACATCTGGTTTACCTTTCCTTAGTGTACCTCCTCTTGAAGCACATATCTCGGGTCAGCCTTGCCTTTTTCAGCTTTTGATCAACCATGCTAGCTGGTCTCCATAAATGTGGTCTCGCTCCTTGCTTGGTGGTTATATGTTGATTACTCATTTGACACCCATCCTCAAGATTGGCTCGAATATGAAGTCTAGAGTCAAGCTTGACGAATGAGCACCAATGCAGCCTCATTCCTTTTAACCACCACCACACATCCACGAAGATACACCATTGAGCAACCTCTCTTAAATGCATCAAATCCCTCTTTACCATCATGGCAGGCTATGGGAAACGTACATCCACAGAGAGTTGGGCATTGGGAGGTAATCCCATGTTCTTTTTGCTGCATCTAGTTCTTGGTCACATCATATGTTACCTTGACATCCACAAAAACCCAAATACAAAGGTTATATCACCAACATGAGACCATAACTTGGAACAACATCAAGTTGGTCTTGAGTGCAATCAATAGTCGTAAAAAGTATTTAGGGTGAACATCACGTCTAAAATTAGTGCTATCAATCCTAACAAGTTTGGACAGAATCATGTTATAATATCATGACAATTATCTAAGCAATTAACACGATAATATTTGGACCTAATCTGGAACAACATCTAGACTAGTATCCAAGCATATAAACATAATCTTTGAACCTAATCTTTGGAACAACATCAAGACTCAGATTCATTAACTTCCAATCATGTGAGAGTTCATAAATACCATGATTTAAGAAAAAAAGGTGTCAACTTACCTGTAAGGAACCTGAGCTGATTCCTTGTACATTGGTATCTATGTAACACCAAAAACTGTCACTCTTTTCATGAACTATGCATGTAACACCAAAACAAAAACAACATCCAATAACACACACAAAAAAAGACAGGAGGAAATGCAAATGAGGAATAATTATCACATGTAATATTTACTTATCATGACTTCTCGTCCTTGGAGAAGGTAAAGAGTATAATGTATCTCAGTATTATATTTTGATCGTTGTGGTCCTTGCCACAATATTTGCCTTTATCTCGCAGTCTTAAGAAACCCCATGTGTAATCATTGAGTTTTTTTTTTGAAACGCAACCACCCTATCCAAAACCGTACAAGTTATATATGCCAAAAATGTCAATACCAAATCCATAGCTATCCCAAAAAAAAAAAACAGACCATGGAAATCTATAGAAACTCCAAAAGTAAAACGAAACCAACACCAACCGCTCACATCAAGGTGAGAAGTTTCTCAGCCGCAGTCAAATCCTTCAGCCAATCTAGTTCCCTCACTCATTATTGAAATCTCAGCTTATAGTAACACTCAGTACTAAACACAAGCTAATCCCAAGGACGAGTAACAGCCCCAACGAGCTCCAAATCTTTCGTTGAGAAAATTATCTTATCAATAGGATGACTACTAATAACATTTCATTGCCATTATGTGACTGATTGTTTTTGCTTTGATTAAACTTTCAATGAAACTAAAAGCCCGTTAACTATCAAAATAGAACTTCGCCTCGATAACCTCTAACATTCCACACAGCTCCCACAAGATACACCCACATTACATATCAAAATTTCTACACAAAGGGCCACCAAATCTTGTTGAAAACAAGAGGATTGCCTATCATTCTCTTGTTCGCATATTTAAACCAAGTACTCAAAAAGAAATTACAAAATATATACTATTATCTAACCAAATAGGATTACCAGACATGAAAGCGCCACGAAGATCTGATGATAGAAGAGTTGAGGCTAACTGAGCATTCCTGCAGAGAGTAGATTGTCTAAGAATTGTCACTAAGCTGAAAGTGATTGTGAGATCTACATTACATTAGACCCCTCAGGCTCGTCATACAAAAAAAGCAAATTGTCTGAAATAGCATTCCGATAATCATATAAGTTAAGTATTAGGTGTATGCAGGTACCTTACCTGGTCACTTTAATGAGTTGGTTTAAACAAATCAAACATGCATACCAAACCACAAGTAAACCAAGCATACCAAGACCAAAACCAGGTAGTAACATTTGCATAAAGATTAGGATACATATCTCATCATATATACCAAGTATTCAAAAGAATCTACTGACATAAAATTTGACTTAAATAAACATTAATGTAAACGCCTATAATAATATACAGATTTCATTATAATATATACTCAACTTTTGTAATTGGTTTTAAGATAGATTTTATGTTATCATGTCCTCGAATGATTGGATATGAATACAACATTTAGATAAGAAAATCAGGATTAAGTCATACAAGAACCAATCAGAAAATGTAATTAAATGATAAGCAAAAAACAATGGGTTAAACTTAATTACCAAGATCAAAAAAATCTGAGCAGGTCTACACGTGTCTGTTTGTTTGGTTTATGTGCGTGATTACTACGCGCCTGTGTTGTGTGTATATATAATTCTTATCTCACCGTCTTCCTCTTATCACCCTGCGTCTCTGAAACTCTCTTAAGGTCTCTGTCTCTATGTCTCTCTAACTCTGATCATCTTCTTCGTTAGACTTAATCAGGGTTTTGTTTACACAAATGCAGATTTTTCATATTAATTAGTTAATTGACTGTTGTTTTTTTTTAAATTGATTCGATCAGGACGAAGCAAAGGCAAAAAGGTTCGAGCGAAATGGCAACTGAGAACAACATAACCAACAGTGTCTTATCCACTCAAGAAGAAGAGGTAACGAATAAAGAATAATTCAGTTTCTCGATGTGATTAATTGATTTGATATAGTTTCATGATGTTGTTCACAACCGCAGTGCAATATCATTTAAGAGAATTATTTCACTTTCCAATCGATCTTTAAGAAAATCTATGTAAATTTCATTTTTGATCTTAAGAAATTTTTTGACTACGGTTCCATTGCTATGGAAATTAGGTTGGATTAGTCAAAAATATTTTTTGGTTAATTACCAAACCTAATCGTCGGTGATTTGACGACTGCGTACACGTTTGTTTCATGTTAGCAAAACCATTTCAAACATCATTTTTCTTATTTTATATTCGGGTCAAAATTAAATATTAAAATATGTCTTTAAATCTTTAAACTATAGATTCTGTCATAGTTCAGAAACTGGAGTGTGTTTGTTTGTTTTTTTGTCTGGATGGAAGATATTTCTTACAGGAACACTGAACACAACTATTTTCTAATAAAAAAAATAAAAAAAAATCTTAGATGGAGATATTTTGATGATATGGACGGCTTTAATAGATACACTCATATTCATCTCTGAATCCTTTGTTAGAATCAAAGGTTTCTTGAATTGTCACGTGGTACGTATTCGGACACATGTGTTTGATTCCGGATCTTCGTTTCCAGTTTGATCCGGTCCGCATATTCCGCTTTGGTCTATATATGCGCTGTCTTTTCCTTTTGTTTGAACAAATTAGTACTTGTTATCCGATTGTGTTGTCAAAAAAAAAAAAGTTATCCGATTGTGACCTTCTTTGGATTCTTGAGAATCAGTTATGACATTGATACTCTTTTTTAACTTATTGGTATATACCGAAACATCAATGTGGAAATTACTTTTGGTGTAGCATTTGTCGGCATACCTATCACTATCAAGCTGCCTCTCATTAGATTTTTAACGTGACTATAGATTTTAATATATATCTAACAAAAGAAAAAGCTATAGATTTTAAATTTAAATTTAACTGATTGAATGTATTTTGTTATGTCATTAGTCTGTCGCTTGTGCAAACAAATACCGTGGACTTGTGCTAAAGAAAAAGCCTCTTATCTCGCAGGTGAATTATCTACAAGTGATCCACTTTTTTTCATATATAAACACATGTTGTGATTTGAGTTGTTTACTAAAGATTTTTAAATTCAGGATGCCAAACGTGCTTGGTTTGATTCAGCTGACTGGGCTTTACGCAAGGTATATCGGTTTACCTAACTTGAAATCATTGATATTTCAGTCTATTAATCTTTTGGCATATGAAAGTAGTTTTTATAAGTATATATATTAATATTACACAGCAAGATGCAAACCGAGATGAAAGAACAATAGAAGCAATCGAGAACTTAAAACCCATATATTTCCAGAGAAGACCTCGCAACGAACGTCCCCCTACCTTTGCATTTGGACAAGAGAATCAGGTGAGAAATTATCCCATCAATGTAGATATATAATGTGTTAGTTTCTTATTATATGTAAAGTGATTTATATTTAAGAGATAACTGAAAAAAAAATCTTTTAATTTGCAGACTGATTCGAGCGTTTAGGATACAACGCAAAAAGAGTTTGGCGTGGAAATGGAACGTGATTGGTTTGGTGTGAGAGCCCACTCACGTCGTGTTTCTTGCTTCCATAAAAGCTCTTATGCAGTTGTTCTGTTTTGGCTCTTGGTACTTAAAAATGCTTATCGTTTCAATAAATGTTGCAGACATTGACATATGTTGCTGCTTCTTTATTTTCTTTCTCTTTAATATCCAAACATTGGTGGGATTTTAGTTTATTTAAACAAAAAAATATTTATAACTCAAAATTTGGAGAACATTGACTTTAAACAAAGAACAATGATTGTCGAGGATCTCTTAGTAGTTAGTAGTATCAGATAAAATATGGACATAGGACTCTGAGAAACTATATAACTGAAAAAAATCAAAACACTGAAAAACTTCAGAATATATTTGTGAACAAATCTCTCCGATATATTCACCACTCACGGTAAGATTTAAGTTTTATAGAATTCAGTTTTCACTCCAACTCGATTATCATTTTATGAAATAAAATTATAGAATTGGTTTATTTGAGACAATTTCCATAAAGTGGAATGCTCATTAAAAATGTTGTCGTAAGTAAAACAAAAAAAACTCTATTCTAGTTCTCCAAAAACAAAATCTGAAAAAAAATCTTATAAACTTGTTTATTAGTTCGATAAACCGAAACTATGTAATTTTAGGATTATCTGTATTTACCCTAATTCTTTGTATTAATTTCTTTTTGTGATTCCTTTTAAGTCTAATCTAACAAGGTTAGGGCTTCTCTGACATAATGTTTGTTTTATCACATTCCTAGAGACACTCTTATCTAAAAATGGTTCTAAATCAAATTTTATCTAGTATGTTAATTTTCGTGAATTTCCAACTTAAAAATTAATTGGCGTTAAGTGAACTAGTTTAAATCCATATATTACCTATGTCCTAATAAAACTCTCGATGTAAAAAAATTATATTCTCACACACCCTTGAGAGATGATGAGTATTTTGGTCATTATCTCAACAATGTTCCAGTATGGATTCGGTTCAGGCCAAACCAACCAGCCGAATTTTGGGTAACACCGGTTCAAGATTAACTAGGTTGCTTTTGAGCCTGATCATTTCGGTTCGAGTGGGCAGTGTGTTAGTATCATGTTAAGTTTCATGTAATTTTAATTTAAAATGAATTTTTGATAAGTGGATTGACTCAATTGTCATATATTAGCCATGACCCATCAAAATTGTCATGTGGTAACTTTATATTCTCACATAGTGAGAATGAAGCAAACAAAAAAGATGGGCCTCTTCAGCAGATGAGGCAATCAAGAACATTTTAATCCAATAGCATTACAGGAAGAGGAGAATCTTTGCTCGAAGAACTCTAATTGATTATTAATTTTCAAATCTTCTTTCCTCCTCCTTTATAGTTCCTTCTTTACAACACTTCTTAGTCGCTGTCATCAAAAGCAAAACATATATGTTCTTGCCGAAAATAAAAAATCCTGAGCTGGAAAAGGAAAATGGATCATGAAGTTAAAATAGAGCTTAACTTATCAATAGTACTTGAACTTAGATTGAGACTGGACAAATATGTCTACAGAAATAGGCAATCTAAGAGGTACAAGGAATCGTGTTCAAAAAAAAAAAGAGGTACAAGGAAGAGATCGCTGAAAGCATAGAAATACATAGTATTAAACGTTGTTCTGATACATGTTACCAAAATTAATAAAGGCCGTGAGTTATATCTTCAAAACCCTATAGAAACCCAGATTGAATTTAAATGCAAACAATACCCGCTCGTTTTAAATGCAAACAATACTAGCATTCTTAATACTATTTTTTACTAAAGGATTCTTAATACATATTCAATCAATTAAATTAATATGTACATGTATACGATTTGTTTGAAGGGTAAATGAAGTGAATTTATTCCATCTTTTTCAAATCTCTTTCATATTTATTTTTATGTTTACCATTTGCAGCTTTTCTATATGAAAAATAATTTCATGTACATGTATATGAAAAGTTATTTTATGGTTGATATAACCTAGCCGAAAATAAATAAGTTACATGAATATAGGAGACGAATAATAAAATCATTCTGTGCCAATTTATCGCTCATTGTATTGTTTAATCGTGGTACAAACGAGATGAAAATAACGCATAACTTCTTACACTTCTGAAATTCCTCTAGATGACTTGTGAGTGCATGCTTGTGTAAACACTATCTTCAACACTTATGAATAATAGGTCGTGAAAATCAATTTTTTTGTTTGTTTTTGTAGTGTGATCATGCAATCTATTTCTCAAATAAATGCTTTAAGGCAATGGTAAAAACTTAATACATCATAAGGCTATGCACATAGGTTTAATTATTCAACACCTTTCTTCTCACATTTTAACATTCCGCATCATGTCCTATCACTTCTAGATAATCATTTAATATATATTCAATTTTTATACTCCCTATGTTTATAAGTAGTTTTGCTTGAATACACAAATATCAAGAAGAACTTATTATTGTTTTAAAGTAACATTTGGTATATTAAGTTATGTATAATTAAACTAATCATAAATAAGCCAGTATTATTCGATTGGACAAACTATATTCAATAAATGTAAAAGTTGCCTAGATATTTGAAAATTACTTATAATTTGAAATAAAAATATTTCTCTAAAACTACTTATAAAAAGAAACAGAGGGAGTACTTTACAATAGTTTCTTAAAAAAAAAATTATTCATCTATTTCTATTTTATCTTTGTATATGTATTAATTTTATCGGGCCCATTAAATTCTAAATTTTGATCTATAGTTCTAATTACAATTCTTTCTGATCCTACGTATATAGATAATTATATAAAAAATTTAAAATTCCTAAATTCTAAACAAGAATCTAATAACTTGATAAACAAAAGTTAAACAAACTTAATTAACAGCATTACAAGAAACACAAGCCGGCCCATAATTTAACTAAACTAAGCCCATAAGAAAACGCAGAAAATCCCGAATCGGTAACAACACCCCCTGCAAAATTCAGCCTAACGTCGAAATTGCCCAATAAGTTTTGTTAGACGGACTTTTGATTTTCGTAGGTAATCATGTCGACATTTGTTTGAACCCGAAAACGAAAACGAAAACGACATAGTTTGATTGTTCTCTACCTCACGCGTTCTTCCTTTGATCCTTTAGCCGGAGAAGTTACTGCAATCATCAGATACGGGTGAAGATGAAGATTGATCTGAACAAGGTGGCTCGTAAGATCGAGGTCGATAACCGTATTCCTCTCCGTAACTACTACCGCATCGCCGATAATCTTCTCCGTCAGGTTTCCTCCGATGATTCAAATCTCCATCTCAATTCAAAGTGAATCCTATCCAGGCTTTGATTTTCTTAGCGTATCTCGAAGTTTTAGCTTATCAATTAGATTTTGATAGTTTATCGAATCAGTGATTTGAATCGTCCTAAGTTCCTTAAGGTTTTGTTCCACTGATTTTGTAGAGAACCAACGAGGAGTTGGCATAGTGGTTAAAACTCTATGACTAGATCTAAAAGATCACAAGTTTGAGTCGGGTAAATTTAACATAGTCTGGACCTAGGAATGAATGTAACGGCCTACAACAGGCTCAGAACCTCCTTTTTTATTTGAAAAATAAGGAATAATATTGTAGGGAGATATGTAGTAATGAGGAGTTACAACTGTATCATTCTCTTTTTTCAAAGCAGCTAATATTGGCTTGTTCATTGCACAGGCCAGCATATATAGGGAAGAGAAGAATGTTGTTGATTTGTATATCATGCTTCTTAGATATTCAAGGTGAGGAGAAATGGATCACTATGTGTGTACTTTTCAGAACTTTTGTATATATTTTTCCATGGAAGAAGCTACAAGTTTTTTTTTTCTTTTTCTTACAGTTTGATTTCTGAAACGGTTCCTTTCCATCAAGATTACCAGGCAACGCTTCCACAAGCAAGACTTGGGAGTAGGAAGGTCAGGTATCTTTATTTTTGGCCTTCGAGTGTTGTTTTTAGTGTCAACAGACATAGTAATATTCTCAAATGTGGATTTTTTTGTACTACAGAAGTTGCGTGCTGTAATCAATGAGCTCGAGTCTCTGAAACCGGAATTCGACCGTCGTGTGGATGAACTGAACAGAGAAGATGATGAATCCTATCGGGTTGGAAGTGATTTCCCTGGCGTATCAACAAATGCTGTTGAATGGCCTCCTGTCCACAGAGATCCTTACTCTAGACCTGATATTAAGAAGGTTCAAGACTTAAAAATTTGCATTTTGTACATAAGATGGGGTTTATTCTGTTGACTTGATCATTGCATCTTTAAAAACCATGCTTGTCGAGCTTCAAATATATGTGCTTTCTCACCAGTATTGTCTTTTCTTTCTCAGATGCAGACAACATCTCAACCATCCTCAACTCTATCTTCATATCGTACACCGATTGATCAGCAATTCCAGAAGTTGTGAGTATTCTCTTTTGCTATTATATTTTGGAAACCCTGAGAAATAAGAGCGTGCAATACAATGTATTTCACTGGTTTACGTGCATGACCTCTGTCTGTTTCTGCAACCACAACACAATAATTTTGAAGATGTTTGGGTCATTGTTTGTTTCGAGAAATTTTGCCGTTTTAATGGACTTGACTGCTAATGTTACTTGGATTCTCTGTTTATGGTATCATGTTTGAAGATGCTTGTTTTTGCGTTTGGTTGAATATATCTTTAGCTTTGAATATTGTAACAAGAAATGAGTATAGAATACTCATGTGTTTGCTCGTAGCAATCCGAGATGGTAACTTAAACTGTAATTGTGCTCTTGAACCTGCAGATCTTTTGATTTTCTTCCTCCAAACCAAGCAACCTTGTCTAGACATTCATTTTTAGGTCCAAATGGTCTTAAAAGTCAGTGGGTTGCACCCAAATCGGAAGTAAAGGTAGAAAGTGCTGATCTCTGTTATCCCCACATATTCTTAGTCTTTATTTTTCCTTGTTGGTCTAATCCAATGTTTATTTTGTATGGAATGATGACAGGTTCAATATCCGAGTAATACCGATTGGGGTTCTGCTGACAATTCAGTGTAAATACTGATCTTTTGTTACCTTTTAAGATTTTTTTTTAAAGAATGTCATGGCTATTTTTAACTAACTTCACGGATATCTACAGTTTGATTGACGCTGGACCTAGCGGTTCCTCAACATCAGTAAATGGTGACTCCCAAACGTTGAACTCTGTGCTCTCCTTAGATGATGGTCGATGGCAGCGTCATTCTG